CAGTCAAGCAAGAAGGGAGCATGAAGATACATATGATAACATTGATTCAACATGCTTAATAACCTGAAGGAGGTCGCCAAGTAGGGAGCATGAAGATACATATGATAACATTGATTCAACATGTTTAATAATCTGAAGGGGGGTCCCAAGTATTTCCAACTAACAAAATAAAATATAGATAATTGCAAAGCACCAAAATCTGCTCCAATGGAGAAACGTGATTACTTAAAAGGTGAATGCATAAAACCTTGAATGAAAATTTGATAGCAAATCGAACAGAAAATTTCCAGTCCAACCATCAACCAGTCAGGCTTTCAGATTGTTCTCGACATAAGTATTTGCCAACTATTACTTTATGCATGGAACAAGAGGATATTCATCATATCCCGTGGAAAAAAAAGTTAAATTCATCATCAAAAGAAATTTGCAGAGAAGTAGTGAAGTAACAAATGTGGTTTTAGAAAAGAGAAGGACAGAAAAATCCTCTTACAAATAGGCCTGCATTTCAAAATTACTGAATATTTGGACTATGGAAATGGAATACTATAATCTTTTTCTTAAATTAGATAAAGCACAGAACAGTAAACATCTAACATTATGAAGAATGGAAGCAAACATCTTACCAGGCAAACAACACATGTAAGACTGTACTCATACTTAATGGAGTCAGAAAAGGTCATAGACATTACAGGTTGTGCACCACTTAAATCACAAGAGAATTTTCTGAAAAATTCTCCAGGTTCTCCAATCTCCGACCCGTAAAGTTCACATAAAATGCACCTAGTTCAATTAGCCAAGGTGACTGCAAAAGTTCAATCCTCTTATCATGCATTTCAGTCTTAAAATTTCTGCCAGTAACAGATCCATGTACCTACCATATATTAAACTAATAACGTAAGAATTTACACAATGGATATCTGGAACACAATAAGTGTTGAATTACTTACTTTGTCATACTTCTTTAATATCTTTCGAATAACAATAGCATTCATGGTAACATAATCAAGTAAAAGCCTTCCTTCTTGAACCATGACTTGCTGATCATCTGTGAAGCAATGACGCAGTTTCCACATATATCTCTGAATACCTCCAGGAGCAACATGGAGATGGAGCAGACGTCTTACTCTTGAACTGAAACATCTTGCTACCTCTGAAGCCTCCCTTGGCAATTCAGAAAAGAACTTCTCATCGCACACTAAAAAAGCAAGAGTGTTCTCAGTAGAAGCACTAAGCAGTCTTTTAGGGAACAAATGGACTAACAAAGAGCCCAGTTCATGAAATATTTCCATGTTGATTGGCTTAGACACAGATTAGCAACTATTTTTTAAAGAGGACAATCATAATCCAAGTTGATATTCAGATTACCGTCTTATACTTGAATTTCGATTAAAGTAAAAGGAAATTTTGGTGGGGTTAAGAAAAAAATATCAAGCTGACATATTTGATTCATACTTAGTCGGATTACACAATTGAGATATGTGCAAGGAAAAGGGTTGGCCGGTAGATTCTCCTATCTGAGCCAGAATAATAACTATGTATAGAATGAACTGCTATTTCAACACCAATTACATGATCAAATAAGGGTCAAAAAGCTGAACCAAATATATTATAACCAGAGAACTCAAGGTTTCTTCCACTACTTTTTAAGAAACCAAGTAATCATGATCCATGTTGATATGAAGCTCTGTCTTATTTTGAAATGTTTTAAGTAATAGAAAATTTACAGTGGGGTAGCAGGTATCAACCTGTCACATTTGATCCATATACGATAGAATTTAACTATCGAAACACGTCCAAGAAAAAGGGTTGTGCCATCTTTGAATTTCAATAATGTTTATGAATATAATCACATCTACTCATGATCACATGAGCAACTCAAGGTGTCTTCTTGGTATTTTCCAAGAAACAAAGTAATCATAATCCATGTTGATTACTTTTATTGAAATTTATTAAGCAAAAGAAAATTACAGTCACATTTCATATATAAAAAAGGCATTAAATTGTCATGTTTGGTTCATATGTAGCAAAACTGCTATTTCGAATGATGGTCAAAAACTCACGAAATTATGTCCGTATTGTTCTTCTCATTATTTTTAAAGAAACAAAGGTAATCATAATCCAAATTGATACTCAGATTACTGTATTGTATTAAAATTTGAGTCAGTAACAGAAAATTACAGCGGAGCTTTGTGGGAAAAAGGTATTGAATTGTTATTTTTTATTCACATGTAGTCGAATTTACACTACTGAAGTGTGGCCAAGAAAAGGGTTATCCGACACATTGAATAGGATGAAATGTGGCTTGGACAACAATTACATGATCAAATGAAAGCCAAAAATTTCAACCAAATATATTATTAATGGACAGCTCAAGGTTTCTTCTTGCTAATTTTTCAATAAACAAGGTAATCATATATAATCCGAGTTGCTTGCTATTCTCAGCAAGTTTGATTAAGCGAGAGAAAAAGGTATTAATTGACATATGATTCGTATGAGTCAAATTTATACTAGAAATATGTCCAAGAAAAAGGACTGGCGAATGGATTTTCATGTACATGAATAGTTTGGACAAAAATTTCGTGATCAAGATATATTTCTTCAAGCATGAATAGTTTGTAGTAAAAAGGAAAAAGAAATGTGATGCAATGGTTTTGTAACGCTATACAGGTTATCCATCATTTTGTGAAACAGAACAAACTTACCTCACTTCTAGCAGAGCTGTCCATCATAACAGATGGTCTTACAGTAGGTGGTTGAATATGAAGAAGTTGTAATATCATCCAATCCGGATGATCATCTTTCGGTATGAAACCTAGTAGTAGGCAAACTTCATTGATTATTCTTTTAAGAACATTGAGAACCTGGCCATGTCATAAAATAGAAACAAATAAATTTGGGCTACTAAAAGAAATAAATTAGAATAACAATTTTGTAAAATTAGCTACATTCTCTGTAGAAAGCTATTGTTTTCTCTCAACAGGTTCAGGAAATTGTGCTTGGTCATAAGATTTCTTGCAAATGACTCATCAACAATAGTTTGTGCAGTTTAGCTAAGTAAAAAATAGTTAACATGCAAATTTAAAGTAATAAAGTGAACTATTCTCTGAATATGTATTTAGATTCACACAATTGAATGTTAAATTTAAGTTAATAACTGCAATAACAATCAAAGCATGCAATAGTTATCAAACAACTATATGAGCATATACAACTATATGAGCATATGTTTATAAATCATAAATTGTCCTAACAAATTAAATTCATCAGTTCATAATCTTAAAAGCATATGAAAAGCTCATTCAAAATCCTTCAACCAATTTGTAAATGTAATGAAAATTAAAAATTATTCATGTTTAATTTTTGTGGGCCTTTGATCAATCCTTCTCCACATTTATCTTCTTTTTTGGTAAATCGAGAACTGAATCATCGTCATCAATGTTGATTGTGATGTCTTCTTGGATTTGGATTTCTTGTGCTATTATCTTTCCTTGTGCACGTTCATCCTTTGAGTTCTCATCCAACTTTACAAGGAACTTGTATGTCTTTCCGATGTTGAGAACAAACTTTTGAAAGAATGAACTCTGATTATTTTTCTGTTTTAATGAGGAAAAAATTAAGATCTTATACATGAAAAATATTGTTTTATGTGTATAAAATATAATAAAGTAAGAAGTTACCTCTTTTATATCATCCATGAATTTTTGAGCCTTGCATCCTATCAAAGTTTCTGTTGCGTCAAAAAGTGTCACTCTTGCATTATCTGTCTCATCTTCAACTATAATTTTAACAACATACCTATATTTTGTATTATCATTGTGCATCAGATGATATTTTTATATTTAATCTTTATATTTTTCTTTCATGAGTAATTGATAGTACTTTACCTCGGTATACTGTCTTCATTGTTTTTTTGATAATTTTGACATTTGTCATAAATAGTTTTGTCTACTTTTTTATTGTAGCCTTTGCAAGAGTAGTACCAAGCCTCATGCCTATTTAAGATATTAGTTATTTTTTTAGTAAAGCTGTCATATTGTGCCTGTAGATTTGTAAAAATTTAGTTAGTTATAATCGTAGTTTACATATATTTAGTAAATAAAATAAGAAATTGTAAAATAATTGAAAAAAAGATAGTCAAAAATGAATTTTTTAAAAATTAATGTAAAAGTAATAATTGTAAATGTATTTGAAACATCAATGAAACAAGATCTATTTATATCAGCTTGTTTTGAAATTGAAGCTCTTGATTCATTAATATTTTATAGTAGGATTTTTAATATCATACCTTTGATGATTTTTGTGAAGCTTGCATAATGTCAACAATATTCATTTTCGCTGTATTTTTAAATAGCCTTGATGTAGCACCATTAGTCTTGATATTGTCTTTTGAAAGAGCCCTGCATACCAAATAATGGGTCTACGGGGACGGTTCATAACCGACCTGCTAGATAAAAAAACCGTCCTCATAGGCCTAAGGGAACGGTTACTCATCCGATACATTTGCTGCCGTAGTCTTTGGTCTAAGGGGACAGTTCATGATCCAAGTGGCGCGGTTCTTGAATTGTTCCCGTAGACAACATTTGGGGACGGTTTAACTATGGGGACGGTTCTTATTTTTTCAGATGGTGATGGTTATTTAACAACGAAAACGGTTATATTTTTAAGCTACCGTGACGCTTTTGCACCAAGGGGGACGGTTTAGAGTTTGATCTAAGAAGACGGTGTTATTTTCTATGGGAACGGCTTTGTTTTTGATCTATGGGGACAGTTTTTACATCAAAGGGGACGGTTAGAAATGGGGACGGTTTTTAGCAATGGGGACGGCTTTCAGATATAAAGATATGAGAATGGGTATATATAGCAAAGGGGACGGTTTTCAATTTTGACCGTGCAAAAGCAAATCATCCAAATATATCACACATTTTTTGACCTGCAGTTTCAAAATTAAAAAAGAACAAAACAAAACGAAAACTCCATGATTTATACCTGCTCATATCACAAACAAAGAAATGGAACTCCTAATTTTACAAGCAAACAAACAAACATAAGGATTAGTTCATTACAATGACTTTAGTACAAGTTTTTTCTTTTGTCCAAAATACATGACTAAAATTCCTCTTTCATTAAAACAAAAAATGTCCTCTTTTTAACTAAAAGGTCTCCATTGGTATACATAATTTGTAAATTGTCAGGATAGAGCTAATCTCAGAGTAAGTGAAAAGCACGCACGGATTAACCTGTTTCAACCACCATCAATTTTCCTGCATAAATTTAGATAAAAAGATAAAAATGAGATTATATTAATTGCAAGATTATGCCACTTGAATATATGCTTTAAAATTCAATTAGCGCATACGAACATAACATCTAATAATTTCAAGCAATCAATCATAAACAATTGGAATTAGATATGATTAACATTATTAGATCATTAAGTTCAACCAACAGCAGGCTCTAAGATATATAATTTGCCTGGCCATCGTGCAAGATCAAAACTAATAACAGTCTCCGATAGATTTGGTGTAATATAAAACAAAGAAAGAGATGTGTTCGCTAGCTAGGCTTGTTCTTCATGTTGTATGCTGGTTTCTCCTATATAATGCATGTGAAACTCATCAGCTTGCTCTCACGATGTAAGAGGATCTAAAACCAAACATACCTCACAAACTACTAATAACTATACCTCCTTAGTATAATATATCACATGATTCCAAGCTTTACAAGTGTTGTTTATTACATGCTGTTAAAAATTTACAAACATATATATCTAGTAGAAACTAGGTTAGGTAGTACAGGGGATCTATCCGCAATTAACCATTGATATCAAGTTGCTAACCAGTAGTCCACTAATAGTATAGAGTTGCACTTACTTATGTCTCAGTGAGATCTGTGCTATCGTGTATAAAATCAGTACCCTAGCTATCTAGCACTGTGACAATGAAGCCAGTATCAATCTAGTGTTGCTCAACCATTGGCACTAGTTGTATCTATATAATTTCAGCAGTGAGTGATCCCCACTAAAGCACTTGAAAATGTTATCTTTAGTTAAAAAACATAGTAAATAATTTACTCTTTAACATTTTATTGGAAACAAAAGCAATCCACTATACTATGACAAAGAAATAGTGCTCAACTTCACCTTTTGTGTAATGTTTAAAAGTAAAGAAAACACGTACATGTACTATTTTAGTTCTGATTGTTAATTTGACATCAATAAGGGATATTATGTCTAATGCACTGAAAATACCACTCACTTAGCTTATGCGGATAGGGAAAAAAGTAAAAAAAGACAACAGCGATACGTTAGTGATGCATACATGTGCTTTTGAAGAATTACAACTTAAAAAGTATGTAAAAGCTAATAGAATGATATACGATTTTATTTTATCTTTTTTGGTATATTCATAGTAATTAGTGTATACAACTTTGTGAATTGGTCCTTGTATCATAACCGATTTTGGTGTTTTTCGTTAATTTTATTTTATCTACAAATTGGATATATGGAATGACTTGAAATTTGTTTGCAGGCGGGCATCAGAAGCTTATGAAAAAAATCAACCATACAAATGAAGGGAATGAAGAAGGTACTGAATACATGTATGTGGTATATTACATAATATGTAGAATGTTTTCTGATTATAGATGTTCCCAATTCTTGACAGGGTCAATTGTGGTATATTACATAATATGTAGAATGTTTTCTGATTATAGATGTTCCCAATTCTTGACAGGGTCAATCACTTGCTCTTCATCCAAGAATCCTTTAGGTATATTGGAATTCTACATTGACCTATCCATAAAAGCATAACAAGAACACAAGAAGCAAATCAGTAGGGCACCAACTTCTCTTATATATATTCTAGAGTGTATATGATATTACCTTTTGAAACCAAAGAAGCAACCAGTCCAAATCAAGTTGTCATACACACAAAAATAAAATAAAATATATAACAATAATCCCAAAACTACCTCATTTCGTGGATGATGACTGCTTCCAGATGAGCGAGGACGATCATGATTTCGAGCACTATTAGCTTGCTCAGGTGATCTTGTGCGTGCAACAAGTCTTGCAATAGCCGCCGGATCAATTGTTTGCCCAAGTGTTTCCGTCAGGAGCTCGGCGAAACCATGAACCAAATCTGCCTTCTGCGCTTCAAACTTTTTTGTCAACTCTTGTTCAACTTTTTGTGATATACTTTGAACAACAGACTCTGGAACTTGCTCATAGGGATCCATGATCTTTTTATTTTTATTTTGGAGCATGGTTTTAGTGACAACCCTTCCCATAAGACGTACACGTCCAGGATATTCATCTTTCGTAACTAAATCCCATGCATCATCATCTTCATCTTGAGATTTGAGTTCTTCTAAAGCACCCTGCATTAGCAAAAATCCCATGCATCATCATCTTCATCTTGAGATTTGAGTTCTTCTAAAGCACCCTGCATTAGCAAAATTTAAACTTTGGTTGATATGCATGTTATATGGAGATTTGAGTTCTTCTAAAGCACCCTGCATTAGCAAAATTTAAACTTTGGTTGATATGCATGTTATATAAAAATTAGGACCTAAAAAGCAATATATTAAAATTTATATTTAGTTGATATTGCATATACTCACTATCAAATTGATTGTTTTCTCTCCTTGTGGTTTTGTCTTCCTTTTACGGGTCTCAATAAACATTTCAGCTTCACTTGGAGGTCTTCCCAACTCCTTTTCCTATAATAAAGACATGATAGTTAAAATATTAATAAATACAATAACAATGAACAAAAAGAAAGGATACAGTTAATAAATAATATTAAACAAAACCAATTGAAATACCAATTTTTTGCGAATCCTGGCAAAACTTATTGACCCCGTAGTGTGTATATATTCTTGACCATCACGATTTGCTTTGTTGGTCTCACTTGTTGTCTACACAATTAGAAGGAACGTGGATTTAAAAAAACAACCTGACCATTAGAAACTTGCATGCAAATAATTATACAACTAAGAACCAGTCAATATAGAACAAAGTTTCAAGTATTGGTCGATACTTTTATATTAAACATATGTGTCAAATTTATTTTGAATAGAAAGCACCTAATCTGAAAGTCTAGTCTCATCTTATTTACCTTTGATTGTTCGGTGTTCCAGAATTTGAGCAAGGCTTTAAATTCTATTTCAGGTATAGTATCTGGCCGTGTCTTCATTCTTTGTTTGTCATTTTTGAACCCGTCAAAGCACTTCTTCTTCAAGAATGATTTCCAGCGTCTCCATGCACAGTTGACAGTTTCTAGGGTCCATTTTTCTTCCTTCCTCTGGAATGTCATATTTTTCCTACATTGACATAATTTGACAATAAATAATTTTGATCATAAATACTTGATATAAATAATAGGAAAAAGAACAATATAAATTAGCGATTAAAAATGAAAATCGTACCTTAACATAATCCCATATTTTTTCTTTATCTTTTTCTTCAACTTTGTGCCAATTTTCCTTATCAAGAGGTGCAAAACTTGAGTTTCTGCCAAGTGTGCCTAAGAAACTGCTAAGTTCACTACATGCCTTATCTGACGGTCCGATAGGTTGTCCACATTCATTTAAAAAAATAACCTGTCGATCATGTACACTTCGTGCATGAACTTTTTGACATTTAGTTTGCCCTCGATACTTTTTGGCTTTGTCTACCACTTTATTAGCTACCTCTCTTGTTGGTTGTCCCCTTAAGTCCTCACCTCCTTCAGACTCATCTATAAAATCCTCCTCTCTATCTTCCTCTTCATCTTGCTCATCATGCTCACTAACATCTCCTATAGCATCTTCTATGAAATCCTCTCTGATATCTTCCTCTTCATCTTCTAAGTTGGCCGATTGTTCTCCTCTTGCTATCACTTTTATTTGTGCATGATTCTGAAGTTGTTGTCGTGTCTTACTAGTTTGTCCCTTTTGCTCTATGAATTTTTTCCGAACATCTCGCTCCGTATTTCCTATTTCATCCAACATTTTCTCCTCTCTTGATTGTCTCATACGGATCATTTTCTTCTTTGTCCGCTCCTCTTAACTCTTTTCTTTGTATTGCAATATTTCTAGCAGGTGGTTCACATATATTGGGCACATGCTTTCTCAGCTTATCCATATTACTTAGCCGATTATGTTCTTTTGGTCGCACTTGTGGACATCGTGTGCTCATAACCTACACACCAGAAAAATTAAAAAAGAAAAACAAATTAATGCATTTAGAAAGGAACTTAGAATATACAATAAAAACTCAACTAAACTTACTTCAAATGATCTCTTCTGTTTTGAAGAGGTTGACAAAGATTTTCTTTCTGCTTCCATGTTTTTGTATGTTCCCTAGTCATTCCATGGACAAAAGATCGATATATCAGAATGCATATGAATCTGGGCACAATTCAGCCTGCTAGAAAGTGTTTACAGAACATATTCAGAAGGAAATAAAAGCTAACAGTTTGCTTTTGAACTATAAAAGGATCGCAAACAACATAAATCATTTATAGAAAAACATAATTGAGTGTAACACAAGCTCAAGAAATAACGACAGCGCATGAAACTGATAAATCTTCAGAGTTTTTTGGCAAGTAAACAATGAATCTTATTTACAAGTAGGGGTGGTAAACGATCGAATCGAATCGAGTACTAAGATGTTCGTATTTGTATTTGTTTAAATTATCGAATTCGAATGTGGACTCTAAAATTCATATATCTAGTTTTTCGAATTCGAACTCAAATACTTGGTATTTGATAAATATTCATGAATATTCACGAATACTTATCGAATATCAAAGTATATTTATTCCGCTAAAGAATTTGATTTTCAAATAGTATTTGAATTCATAAATAAAATTTATTCCTTTATAATATATGATGTATATATATTTAAATCAAAATTTTAATTAGAAAACAGATTTAAGATTATTTAAGTCTTAAAATCAGGATATAAAGCTCAAGTAGAAATAGTATGTAGGTTAAAAATATGACATCATATGTGCAATAATACAAGTAATATGATGTGATCAAATTTTAAACGAATATTTAATAGACAAATGAATCGAATATACATCTGGTTAAATTCTATCCGTTAGTAAATTCGAATACTAAAAAATATTTGTTTAGTGGTAAATAAACTACCGAATCGAATATGACCGAATACTTTTTCGAACAATTATCGAACTGTTTGTTAATTATTTGGTTCATTTCCACCCCTATTTACAAGTAATCAATGAAGTTCGAACAAAATTGAATACAGAACTGTGGCCTCTCACAAACAAACTGCTTTTTCTTTGGGTTTAGAACATCTTCTGGCTTCCCATCATACCTATAATAAAAGAGCATGTCCACAGTTCAAAAAAACATTATGAAATTTGCAAGAGTACATCCAAGAGCACAAAGCAATTGAATTACCATCCACCTAAATCCATGATACAAATAATCACAACAAGAATTTCAATTTCAAGGGACAGTAAGGAAGTACAACATCATGCAGCTATTCCCACTCAAGTAAGCAATTGCAAATGAGTTTCAATTTTCAAGGAATTCCATTCCAGTTTTACAAGCAAAACACATGAACGTTTAACAACGATTCAAATTCCAATAACCACAGATGAAAATTTTTACGGGTCGATACTAAGTTGGTACGCAATTCTGAAGCCAGCAATTCAAATCGAGTGCTAGATTCGGATAGTACCCAATGATGACTTAATAGGTTTCTAAGAATAGAATAAAAGTACAATTCATATGCTGAGAGAAACTTATCAACTAATGAAAAAATATAGATATATTCAAATGGACACCAATTAGTCTGTTTGCCAAATATACTTATCGATTAACGAACTGAAAAGGATATGGGTATGTTCTCTCAAACTTAATTTGTCCATTGTATAAAATAATATAAAGTTAAGCATGTTTACCCTGCAAATGAGATACGCTCCCCAATGATGGCTCCTTCTGGAGGACTCAAGGCTCAACTGCTGTATGGTCTTCATTTGAAGCACATAATACCTAAGAACAGGTGGACTATATAATTAAACAAACCAAAGATAAATAAGTGATGTAAAAATTTTCATTTGAAGCACATTTCTTTTAGACAAACCAAAGATAAATAAGTGATGTAATAATTTTCATCACAAAACCATATAAAGAAAAAAAAGAGACCAGCAAAAGCCTATATCTCAAAAATAACATCTCAATCCATCAACGATCAAAATCAAGAACAGAAATAGATGCACTAGCGTTAGGATTACTAGAATAGTTGAGAATGTACGATAATTTTCCAGCGCAAACAAGATGGTATCAATAACAAAAGCACTAGCGTTAGGATTACTAGAATGCCCAAATGTGATTATTATACGAACTGGACTTTGGATGGTAAAAAAATAGAAAAATGTACTTTTAACAGTCAGGCTAACAAGGAACAGTTCAGCTCTGCAGATAAGGACACGTAGGAAAAGACATCATAGTTAATGAGAAGTATAAAAGATCTCTGTGCCAACAACAAATCATAGTCCGAAAATGTCAAATGCTGTATCTACTCCCAAAAGCAATATGAGGTATTCATGATTAACTCAAATAATTGAAAAACGTCAAGTACTCAAGGAACAAAATGGGAGGCGAAGGCTGACATATAGCTTGCAAGCCAATGCCTGTACCGGAACTGTTCTCCAAATACAACAAAGTCTACATACACGACACAAAGGAGCAGGATGCTAATTGCCCTACGATCCTAGAGGTGGAGTGTTAAGAATAAAAGATCACAGGTATATGAGAGAGATCGAAGTAGAACTCTCAAGGTAGGAACTAGGAAGCACTAACGAGCTTGAAAAGATTGCTACGTTGGCAACACGCCCAGAGCAATATCCAACATGGTTGAAAAGATAAAGATGACACGTATGCGCATCAATAAGGATCACATTATCTCCAGAGACTGCATACTCATATCATAATTGCCCAGATTCGAAACATGGCTATCAAAATACAAACCAGAGGCCATTATCTCGGGTTGTTAATCCAATGACAGCAAAATAATCAGATAACACCCCAGGATAACTACAAAGGTATAAAATATTCTAACAGGCTTTATCCCTATAAGCTTAAAATATTAGCATGCTGAGTTAATAACTAGGATAAATAGTCTATTGTTAGTGTTCCTCATCTAATAAGATACTCATGCACCAGTAATTCACCAGCTCAGAAATCATATATATATTTTGCTCATAATGTATAATTCAGTGTGATTTCTAATTAAAGAATATATTTGAGTTCCTCAAATACATATAGGAACACAATAACATATCATTTCTTAGGAACCCACCTAAGCTAATCATATAAATATTGTTAGCGAGGAAAGTAATGGATTAAAATTGATATGACAATTGATGCATCAAACTTTATATAAATGATGATATGGATGTGCATAGATGCAACATTAATGAAGGATGTGTATGGATGTGCATAGAAAGATAAAAATGACAAAAGAAAACAACAAAATCTCATTAGATTAAAAACTCAAATTATTATTAATCCATATACAGGCAAACTTCATGTCAGCAAGCCAAAAGGAAATACCAGGAACAATATATTGGAAAATGACAAATTATACTCAACCGATATACTCAAAACATAAAGTTCAAAGGTCATTTCTAAATGACAAATTATACTCAACCGATATACTCAAAACATAAAGTTCAAAGGTCATTTCTTTCAAAACATATAGAAAATGACAAATTACACTAAGAAGTTCAAAGCTTATTTGTTTCAACCAAACATATAGTATCATGTCTTTACTCCATCCAATCCCAGTCTGTTTCATCAAAGTCACTGTCTTCATCACCTTCCATTACATTATCTGAATCAATATATATATTTGGAGGAATGTCAACAGTGGACCTCGGCACATCATCTCTACACCAACCCACATCTTCTATGTCATCATTAGTGGTTGGGAATTGGGATTAAATCACTGACAATGTCACCACTTTCAACCCAATAGTCACCTCCATGTGTAACACCAATATCACTGTCAATATCATAAACGTGACTAGGAAGCTTCTTTAAAACATAATGTCAATTTTTGTTTGCCTCTTCAACAGGATCCTTCACATAGAAAACTTGATGAACTTGGCATGCCATGACAAAAGGGTCATTTGTGTGGCGTTTGTTATTAAAATTGACGCGAATAAGCCCATATTCATCTTTTTCTGAATGAAACCAGTCACATTTGAATAGAACGACACTAAATTTGCTCCAATAGTCTATTTCAATGATATCTTGTATGACGCCATAAAAAGTAACATCTCCAGTTTTAGGATTATGGTCCCTGGAACTTGCATAACTATCTACTTGACTAGTTATAGACACACCACTATTCTGAGTTTTGCATGTTTCATCACAACAGTTTATACTCGTATACTCTTTGGAGTGTTAAGAAGCAGTTTATACTCTTATACTTATCGGAGTGGCGAGAAAAAGTTTATACTCTTGTACTCTTTGGAGTATTTGCCGTTTTCAATTGGCTTACCCTAGCGTTATAACGCCGGCTTCAACCAAGGTCTGGATGCTATTCTTGGCGCTGATTCCAACTCAGATACTCTAGTTTTAAACCAGTCAGTGAAGTCCTTGATGTGCTTTTGAGCTCCCGTCCATTTACTTGTTCTGCCTCTTTTTCTTGACTGATTCGCAATTAAAAGTTTATGTTCACTGCATAACAATACAAAATGCATGGGTCTATAAAGTGAAATATGAGCATCAACATCAAATAAGAAGTAATAATTAAGTAAATGAAACATACCTAATATAATTATCAACTTCATTGTCAATAACCGTTGCAGGTACGTCCTCTTCATCATGAGGTACGAGATCTGAATCCAGAGGGTTGACCATCTGTTGGCTCCTCTCAGCTTTCTTTCTTTTGAGGAAGCGTTCGGCCTGTTCTCCGCGTACCTTCAACTCTTTCCAGGTATTGAGCGGCTCTATTCATTAAGTAAATGAAACATACCTAATATAATTATCAACTTCATTGTTATCACAATTGTACAAGGCATATCAATGTGCATTAACCCAGTCAACATTATCTAATGTAAATAGTTTGCCCTTTCTTTTCCTCTTTCCTCCCAAAGGATGACCTATCTTAGGAAAAATTAGCGACTTCTCTTCTGCAACATCAACTCTCTCATACCTACTTGTGTATCTATTAAACCTTGTCTTGACACCGCGACTTCTCTTCTGCAACATCAACTCTCTCATACCTACTTGTGTATCTATTAAACCTTGTCTTGACACCATCATGCATATATAATGAGCAAAAAGTCATCATACCTACTTGTGTATCTATTAAACCTTGTCTTGACACCATCATGCATATATAATGAGCAAAAAGTCGGAGACTCTTCAGCTAAAAATCCTTCTGCTATGGAACCTTCAGGAGCACTTCTATTACGCACACATGACTTTAATCTACAAAGATATCTTTCTGTTGGATACATCCAGAAGTAGTTGACTGGCCCACAATCCAAAATTTGTTGAACTAAATGAATAGGAAGATGAACCATGATGTCAAAGAAACTGGGTGGAAATATTTTCTCAAGCTGACAAAGTATCTCTACGATCTCAGTCTGCAAGGAATTAAGTTCAACTGGCTTGAGAACTTTGCTGCATAAACCCTTAAAGAAAGCACCTAATCTGATAAGAGGAATAGCAAAGTTTCGAGAGGAGTCATACGGCCACCCCCAGTGTTGTCATTACTGGTGGGTCCACCCCCAGTGTTGTTCTTTTTAGTAGGGCCACCCCTAGTATTCTTGGGCGGTGCGTCGGCCATGACGATTTCGGCCACCTCCGGATCGTTGTTGACTGCAGCGTTCTTGCAAAACATTTCTTTCTCCTGTGTTGTCATAGAAAAGCAAGCTTTCGCAAATGTAACACGCCGATCATCAGCTGACTTCATAGGATGAAGATCTCGTCTTATGCCCATTTGTTGTAAGTCAAAGCGAGCTTTAACATGGTCCTTTGTCTTTCCTGGAATATCTAACAATGTGCCAACAATATTGTCACAAACATTCTTCTCAATATGCATTAAATCAAGCATGTGCCGACATCTATTATGCTCCCAATAAGGCAAATCAAAAAATGCTGACCTTTTCTTCCACGGACAATTCCTATCTGCTCTTTTCTTCTGCTTTTTTCCAAATTCATTGACAAAATCAGACAATTCGTTTATAATTTCAGTCCCAGACAAAGATGTTGGTTCTCTTCCAAGCTCAATGTCACCATTAAATGATCTTTTATTAAATCGCCATGGGTGATCATCTTTTAAAAATCTGCGATGACTCATATAACACATCTTCTTGCTATATTTTAAATACTTAGAGCATGTACTATAATTGCAATAAGGACAAGCCAATCTGCCTTTAGTACTCCATCCGAACAACATTGCGTATCCTGAAAAATCACTAATTGTCCAAAGCAAAGCTACACACAATTTAAATGATTGTTTGATAGAAGCATCATATGTAAGCAATCCAACTTCCCACAACTCTTTCAATTCATCAATCAGTGGCTGCAAGTATATGTCGATGTTGTTGCCAGGGGATTGAGGACCTGAAATAAGTAGAGATAGCATGAAATATTCTGCTTTCAAACACATCCATTGTGGTAAATTATAGTTGATTAAGATAACTGGCCATGTACTATGCGCGATACTCATTGTTCGAAAGGGATTAAATCCATCACTAGCCAACCCAAATCTCACATTACGAGGGTCTAATGCGAACTCTAGATGCTTTTCATCAAAGTCTTCCTAAGCTTTGTCATGAGCCGGATGCCTTAGAATCCCATCCTAGATGCGCTCCTTTGAATGCTAACCCATACATTTAGCAGTTTGAGAACACATGAATAGTCTTTGAACTCTAGGTTTTAAAGGAAAGTACCTCAAAACCTTTACTGGAACATTATGCACCTTTTTAGATGGTTGATTGGAATCATTAGATACATCATCCTTCTTTGGCTTCCACCGAGAAGCACCACAACTACTACACTCATTTAGCTTCTCATTTACATTCCATAGAATAGCATACAATCGTTAGGGCACGCATGTATTTTTTCATAATCAAGACCCAAGTCCTTGACAATCCTTTTGGCTTCATGAAAAGACTTTGGTAACTTTATGTCTGGAATTGCTTCCCTCCATAGGGTCAGAGAATCATCAAATGCCTCATTGCTTAGTCCATGTATGCACTTATGCAGATATAATCGAATTATAAGAGAGTTTGGAAAAGGTTTTGCATCCTGGGAATAACTCTTGCTGACCTTCCACTAACTTGCAAAATTTCTTAGCATCCTCAGTCAATTCCTTTGTGCCTTCCTTTATTCCTTCTTCTTCGTTATCTGGAAACTCTTCTATTGTGCCTCTAAAAATATCATGTAGTAATCCACCTAAATCATCATGAGTATGTGCATCATCATCATCACTCTCGCTATGGACGTTCAATCTTGATGGCAAAACCTCACCATGAAAAACCAATTTGTAATAATTATCTATAAATCCCTTGACAATCAAGTGATTATAGACAGTATTTCGCTGATGCCAACTACGATTACAACAACCACGACAAGGACAACATATTTCATTCCCTTTAGCTACTCTTGCAAATGCTTTATCAAGAAAGTCATTCACTTTTTCAAAGTACTCGGCACTTACACGAGAAGTGTTATACATCCAACCTCTATTTTTATCCATAACTTGCACCTGCTAGAGAAAAGTAAATATATTGAGACATCAATAATATATATCTACTTACTAACAATGTATAAGAATCCATCAACTAAAGAGTTTGCAAGTTATTTTATAGGACTAGTTCTCTCAAGCATAACTATTTGTTTAATAGTAGTATACATAAACTAAAATATGCTTATATCTAAAAAAAATAAAAATTTATTAGTTTCATATTTTGTTTAGAGAACGAAAACTTTTATCATTATAGAGCTAATATAAACCTGTGAGGATGCAATTATAGTAAGTAAATGAGATAGAATATATTTGGCTCAAAAAGATAAAAAAAGAAACAATATGGTTCAACCAAAAACTAACTACCGCCGGTTATTATATTACCTTGGCTCACAATTAATTTTTTTCCCCATAGAAAGATTTATCTAATACTTTCCCCTCATTAGCTTCTTATTCATCTCCTTCATTTGACATTTTTTTATATAACCATTTAAAGCAAGATTCAGTAAGTCCAAATTTGTGCAATGTTTGAAGCCTCCAACACGCTTACTTATCTTTTACGTGACCACAGTGGCTTAAGATCCGCATTTTCCGACATTCTTGATATGAGCAAAGCACGCTGATTGCTTCCTCCCCCTTATCCCTCTCTAAGTGCCCTGATTCATAGTCAGCTAGCCTGACAAATTTTAACAACCCAACTCTGCATCATTGACTCTCTTGTTCTGTGGTTTTTTTTCTTGGAGTTACCTGTTGATAACTGTTAAACGCTAGAGTTTAGTTCTCACTGTGCAGTCACAAACATGCGTGTGATATTGTTGGGAGTTGACACTGTGGTGTTTTATTAAACTTTCTTTCTCTTGTCTTGTAGTCTAAAACAAATTCTGTGTTTCAAAATTTTCTATTAGTTTTTTAAAAATTTCCTCAGAATTGTTCAACACGCGCATTGCCTGATTCACTGAAGTCCTAATATTTTCTGAAAATTAACAAATACTTTGAGAAAAAATCATGCCTCAATAATGTGCATGCATCACCTCCTTTTGAGAATCTTGCCACATATTATATACTAACCAAACCACGCACATTTTAAAGTCTCTCCCGGTGGACTGAATTATAATATTTCACACCGTAACATTAATAATCATATATACATTCACATAGTTATATTATTTGCTCACTCACTAACAATATCCC